CCCGCCTCTGCTGAGCGGCGGTACAAAGTCACGCTGCGCTGCACAACGAGCAGAACAAAGAGCAGAAATAAGCACTTACAGGCTTTTATTTTGTAGGAGGAGGCTGTGATGTGTACAAGCAGTAAAACCGAGTCGCTCAGAGCGTTCGAGGAGTAGAGGTGGAACGCTTCCCCCTCACCGCTGTCAATAACCTCTGACCTCCCCTTGCTCTCCTGCAGGAGGCGTGATCTCCTACGTGGGCTCCTCCGGAGGCTCTCCCACTCGGACCAGTCCGGTCTCCATGTACAGTGAGAACTCCAACTCCCAGTCCTTCTTCACCTCCTCCTCCTCCCTCACACTGCCCTTCCTCAGCTCCGGCTCCAGCTCAGGGTCAGCCGGAGACGACGGGTCCTCCTCGGCCTCCTCGTCGGCGGGAGGCTCGCCTCGAGGCCGCGACGACGGCGGCTCTCTGAGGACGTCGCCCAGCAAGTCTGTGGCCAGTCTGACCAGTAAGTACGCAGTTCGTTTGCATGTTTGTGTGTTGAGCTGAACGGAACCTCTGATGTCACTTCCTGTATGTGACTGTGTTTCAGAGCTGAACGGCATGGTGCTGCTCTGTAAGGTCTGCGGTGATGTCGCCTCGGGTTTCCATTACGGCGTGCACGCCTGCGAAGGCTGCAAGGTGAGATCTCACACACACACACAATGGAACTACCGACTCAATGATAGTATTTGTGTTAATTAATTAAAATCTAAAACTGTTATTCTTATTTTTTGTTTTTGTAATATTTCAGAGTTATTTACTTCCTGTTTATTTTCAAATGCGTTATTTCTTTATTCACACACACAGGCTTTAAGTGATGATGTGATGAAGCTTCAGTCCAAACTACTCTGCATTTATGAAGGCTGTTGTGTTTTTAACATCTTTTAATCTTTTGTATCTTGTTCTGTTTAATCTGAACAAGCCCTTAAAAACAGTCAGTGATCCCTGTCGGCCTCTCTCGGTTTTTATTACCACTGTTCATTTTAAAGCTCAGTTTTTAAAACCTTAGGATGTAGCTACAGCCCAGCCCATGCAGCAGTATATGAATGACTAACCTCGTATTGTGGATGGATTATCTCAGTTGTTCTCCTGGCTGAAGTTTGGTCCGTTTACAGCATCCTGCCATGCGATTGCATTTGTTCCTGACCACCGAGAACACTCACGTTAACTTTTATCGAGTGGAAAGAAGTTAGCGTTCATCCTCCAGCTTCACTGTTTATGCTAACATAGCTGTGTCGCTAGCGGTCACGTAGCACATCATTATATAGCAGCTAGCCCAACTTCAGTAACCCTACAAACGTCACTGCTGTTTAGTTTCCTGTCTTCATTTATGTTGGAAGTGACAGCAGAGCTGTACGTTTGAATCTTTCAGAAATCTCTCAGTTAGAACATGCTATTTTTGCGTGGAAGCTAGCGAGCTAACTTCCGGTAGCTTCCTGCTAACTTCTAACTCCGTTAAATTTAATAAATTCTGTTTTCTTGGATGTTAAACTTAATTGTTACACCTGGTAAAGCAGCAATGCTGATGATTTTATGACAGATGAAAGAATTTAGACAGTTTTTAACTCTCAGTGATGCTGCAGTGTTCGTTTGACTTTGAGACCTGAAGCGGCTAATGACGTCAGACTTAAAGACCGGATATACAGTCCGCGGATTTTGGCAGTTTTGGGACTTGGTGGTGATGACGATGATGATGCTGAAGGTGACGGTGTGGGCGTGTCTGGTCTTGCAGGGCTTCTTCCGCCGCAGCATCCAGCAGAACATCCAGTACAAGAAGTGCGTGAAGAACGAGAGCTGCACCATCGTGAGGATCAACAGGAACCGCTGCCAGCAGTGCCGCTTCAAGAAGTGTCTGTCTGTGGGCATGAGCCGCGACGGTGAGCGCCCGCCTCACCTGCACGCCCACCTGCAAGCCCGCACACTCTGAATCCGACCTAACTCCTCCTCTTCCTCTTCTGTCCACAGCGGTGCGTTTCGGGCGGATTCCGAAGCGTGAGAAGCAGAGGATGTTGGCCGAGATGCAGAGCGCCATGAACAACATGGTGAACGACCAGCTGCAGAGCGACTTCCAGCTCGCCAGCCTGTCGTCCTCCTCCTCTTCCTCATCCTCTTCCTCCTCGCCGTGTCCGGGGGTGACCATCGCCCCCCGGCCTCAGCCCTCAGCCCTGCCTCCAGCCCCCTCCTCACCCTCCCCGCCTGCTTCGGCTTCCTCTTCCTCCCCACCGCCTCTTCCCTCCCATCAGAGCTCCTCCCCCTCCTGCTCCCCACCCCCCAGCCCCGGGATGGACTCCACCATCAGCGCCATTGCTCGCGCTCACCGCGAGACGTTCCTATACGCTCACGACAAGCTGGCTAATAACCACATCCACCACAATGGGGAGGCGGAGCTCTGGCACCCCAACCGCTGCCCAAACGGTTACCATGCCAACGGCCTCAACACCATCTACCACCACAATAACAACCTGGCCACAGAGTGCTACCTACCGGAAAACAGCCGCACACATCTTCACCGTAGCAACGGGAGGCAAAGCCAGCAGAGCGGTCCCGCTGGTCATGTGACCCAGGAGCAGCGCTGTCCAGTGAAGAAGCAGACGGGGATCGTGCTGGTAAGAGCTCATCCACTGGGGGAGGGTTTACAAGCTGTCACCTGATTGGCTGACGGTGCTGTCCTGTCTCCGCAGGCTTGTCCAATGAACATGCAGCCTCAGGCCGACCCCTCGAAGACCCCGCAGCAGATATGGGAGGACTTCTCGCTGTCCTTCACGCCCGCCGTCAGGGAGGTGGTAGAGTTCGCCAAACATATTCCAGGATTCAGCGGTCTGTCCCAGAACGACCAGGTGGCCCTGCTGAAGGCCGGCACCTTTGAGGTGAACCTGTCATGTCACTTGGTTTAGTGGGCGAGGTTTGTGCTGATTGACTATGTGCACGAGACAATGCTAACTTCCTGGTTTGAGACCGGATGTGGGGTTGTGCATTTCCGGTAGCTTTACTTTGCAGTCAGTCACTACTGCGAAGATATATCCTCCACAATCATGTCCAAAACTCGAAAACGGAAAGATGGCGTTAAGTTACAAAGAGCAGAAGGTGGGAACACTCACCGCTGTCGTGTCATAAAAAATCTAATGATCAATTTTGACGTTTAAAGCGTTTAGATCGATCAGTTGTTTACATCACTCAACACAAGCAGAACTGCATCACTGCAGCAGAAGACACATCGTCCACATGCAGAAGCATCTCTGTGTAGTGACTGGTCTGATCATTTAAACAGGCAAATGTTCAGCATTCAAACTACAGGTGAAGAATAGTCAAACCAGATGTTTCCCGTTATGTCGAGATCAGCTCATCAAGTACACACCTACACAGCATGTTAACAAACCGTGAAAAAAGCCACACAAAAAATGAATGCTTGCTGGTAACGGTTTCTATACATTAGTATGTACGAAGGTATGTTGTGACTTACCTTCAAAATTACAGCGGTCCCTCGCTATAACGCGCTTCACCTTTCACCTCGCTGTTTCGCAGATTTTTTAGTGCAAGTTTGCTTATTTTTTACGTCACATTGTGTCCTGCGTCCTGATCGCTGCAGACGATCTCCTCTGTGACGTCTCTCCTGTACAGTACAGAATCGCTGCAGCGATGCTAGCAGTGTGACTGAAGTGCAGTGCTGTATGTCCACGATGTCCATGAAACGTTTTGCACTGTCAAAAAATAAAATTGGCTCCTTGATTTCACCTCTCGCTGGTTATTTTTAGAACATAACACCCGCGATAAACGAGGGACAGCTGAGAAATATAACATTTGAATCCCTTTTCTCTTTTGCTCTGAGGCGCGGGGAAAAATATCGACAAGTCGATGAACATCATTTACAGATATATTGGGTAAATGCCGGAGACATCTATAGAAATGTAAATCGCCGCTTGATTCATTCATTTGCTTAAGTTGTTTTGGACCGTAAACCAGGCGCGAATAGGACACCGGAAACAAAGCTCCCCACAGGAGTTTCCGCACCGGAAGTAGCATATGCTAACGTGCACATAGTCAGTTGGTTGATTGAGATTCCTTAGATGCTGTACCCGACCTGACCACTAGGCAAACTGGGGGCGCTGCACCCACCCTCTAGATATTTACCATGTCTTCTCACTCAGCCAGTTACAGCACTGTCATCCAATCAGAGCACATTTTAGGGAAATGACCTCTGACCTTTGAAAAAACCATTGAGTTCACTCTTGAGTCCACAAGAGTGCGAGTTTAAAAACTCCCACTAATGTTCCTGAGGTCAAAGATCTGAAGCTCAGGTTGCTGTTTAGTTGCATTTGTTCATGGAGACGTAGCGGTCGCAGTACTTGCTTGTTGCAGCATTTGGTTAAGTTAGTGAGTTGCCGTGTTTAGTTGCAGCATTATGTTTCATTGTGAGACGCAGTCTTTGCTGTATTCTGCCCTCGCACTTAACTAGACAGATGGACAACCATCTTCCCATGTAGAAAAACCACAGCGCTGTTCCTTTCTGGCAGATTTATTTGACTGGATGCTTCGCATGGCTTTGTTGAAATACATGAATGTGCCATAGGGGTAGCAAACTGTCCTTCTCCCGCTAGACAGGAAGTAATGAGAAATAGCACTTCTGGTAGGATGTCAAAATAAAATGAACAGTGTGCCAGAAACAAATAAAGATTGCATGAACTTATATAACACTACATAACATGAGGGCGACTCTTAAGGAGCCAGAACATGCTGCATTGTCTGTAGGTACAGAAAATGTTGCAGATGTAGTCCTGGAGCTACAGCATGATGTTTACTTGTTGCTGCAGATGTAGTTTGTGTTGCAGTTGCTTGTTTTCTGTGTAGATTTGCAGTCATCCACGTCACGAAAGCTTTCTTTCCCAGCTCCTTAGGCTAGTTGCTTGTTGTTCAGTTGCAAGTGTTGCTGTAAACGTAGTGGTTGCTAGAGTTGCTGTTGTTGCAGGATTTGGCTTAGCTGCAGGAGTTAACGTGTTGCTGCAGTTGTAACAGGCGGTGTTTGGCTTAAGTTGCTGTGTTTAGTTGCAGGAGTTTGGATGTGGCGAGTTTTCTAGGCAGAGGATGTTGGTCTATTAGCAGGAGTTGCAGATGTAATGTTGCTGTAGTTACACGCCTCCTCGTTGGTTGCTCAAACTCGTGTCAGGCTGAGATTGGATGAAACCTAAATGTGTCGGTGACATCATCGCGCTTTCACTGATTGCCCGTCCTTGTTTCCTGTCTCAGGTGCTGATGGTGCGTTTTGCGTCGCTGTTTAACATGAAGGAGCAGACGGTGACGTTCGTCTCCGGCGCCACCTACAATCTGCAGGAGCTGCGGGCGATGGGCATGAGGGACCTGCTGGGAGCCATGTTTGACTTCAGCCACAAGCTGGCGGCGCTGGAGCTGGACAGCGAGGAGCTCGGACTCTTCACCGCCGTGGTGCTCGTGTCAGCAGGTGAGCAAAGATCGCCGCCGCCGTAGATTAGCTGAAACGTATCGCAGTTATTTAAGCAACGTGTTGACAGTTTAAGAAGGAAGTATAGAAAATCAACTTCCTGTTTGTAGCACATAACTACGGCGAGTGCAGGTGTAGCCCGAGTTTGTGTGGTTTAGCTGTTGTTGTTGTTTTCGATGCACGTTCAATCATCCAGGTAAGGAAATCGCTAAAAGTTGATGTATGTAGATGTTGTTGCCGTAGTTGATGTCTTGTGTTTAGTTGCTTATTTAATAATTTTTGGTTGTTGTTGTGTGTCGAAGTTGCACATGTCGAGTTTGTTTTTAAACTGTTTAGTTGCAGCTGTTGCTGCAGATGTAGTGGGTGGGGTAGTTACCGGGTTTGGTTCAGTTGCAGTAGTTGTAGACGTAACAGTTGTTGCAGTTGCTGCAGATGTAGTTGTTGCCCGTTGCTCGCTGACCTGCCCTCTCCGTGTGGTTTCAGACCGCTCCGGCATCGAAGACGTGGCGTCGGTGGAGCAGCTGCAGGAGAATCTGATCCGCGCTCTTCGCTCGTTGGTCAACAAGTCGCCCGTCGCCCCAGAGAGCGAGCACCTCGACGTGGACTCGCCACGCTTCACCAAACTGCTGCTGAAGTTGCCAGATCTGCGGACGCTCAACAACATGCACTCTGAGAAGCTGCTGTCCTTCCGCATCGACGTTTGATGACATCACTGCGATGTCACCGCATCGCCACGCTCTCCAGCCCTTAACATCGCAGCGTCATCCAGACCGCATCGGACTGGCAGGATGACGATGTCATCAGCAGAACTTTGCAAGACATGCGTCTCCCCGCCAAAATAAAAGTCTGCTTTAAAACAGCTGGTTGATGTTTTAAAGGAGCAGGCTGCCATTTTTAAACCACACTATTTTAACCAGTGTAAGCCCAAACCGTTAGCTTAGCCTAGCCAGCCCAGTTCTTTGACTTTACTGGAGCGTCACCAGCAGGAAGTCTGAAAGACAAAAGAAAGAAGCGTGAAGGACGTGGACGACGACAGTACGCTAACTGACGAGCTCACACAGGACAAACCTGTTCGTTCAGCTTCACTTCCACTTCCTGTTGATGTCATCATTCTGTCTGATTTTAGCTTTGTTAACGTTCATGATGAGTTCAGACGCTTTTAATTTGAAAGTTTTCCCAGCTGGAGACAGATGCACACTAAAAGTAGCTCTTTCAAACGTCTGGACGCATCCAGCTGCTTTTAATGATTTTAAGGACTTTGGGATCAGCTCCTTCGATTTTCAGCGGCCGGCGATCTCTGACTGCGGCGGCCTCCACTTCCACTCTGCAGGAAACAGAAACTCTTCCAGTACGAACTGATTCATCCTGAACTTCCAAACTGTGGAGCGTCCGGAATGATGACTCCACCCACTACAGAGATGGAGGAGGCGGGGCATGACCTGGCGACGCCTCAGACAAACCTTATGCAGCTGATGTTCTGTAAAGAAACTGTACATAGCCATGAACACAAAGATCCAGCTATACTTGAACTGTTCCCCTGAGATCTGTTGTACACAACTATTTTTGGTTAATATGAATATATGCCTGTGCAGATATCGTGACTATGAAAGTATGTACAAGCGAGGAAGTGCACCTGATGAAAGAAGATCTCTGATGTGTTTTAATCTGTGGTTTATGTTGTAAAGACGTTATATAAAAATGATATATAAATATATGCACACGAGTCGTCCTGAATCTATAATATTCACACTGATCATAAAGACGTTACTGCGATGGACGTGATGATTGGACGAGTCAGAGCTGAAGTAAAACGACCTTCAGTTTTCTCTCATTTTACCCACCAGCAGCTGCTGACACGTTCTGATTGGTTGATTCAGGACAGGACGCTCCGCTTCGATATTTCCAACCGTGCAGATGCGAGCAGCAACATTAGAGCTCCATGAGTGTGGTTGGAGGAGAAGCTGGAGTCAGTTACAGCGGCTGGTGGAGGTGCTGTAGTGGCAGGGTTTGATGTCACAGACTCAAGCTGCTGCTGGTTGTAGTTGCAGCAGCTGTAGAGCGGGTGGTGTAGCTGCAGAAGAGCCTGATTCGAGCTCTCTGTTATTGTACCGCAGCAGCTGTATGTGCTGAAGGTGATGCCATCAATTAGCGGCTGCTCTCTTCACGCCCCAAATCAAAATTGAGGAGGCTGTAAAGCAGCTCATGATGTTGGGACTAACGGTCACAAAAACTCATTTTACTACAGTAAAAACTTTAAAAAAAATCTGAAAACTGAACAATGAGTTTTCTTTAAGTAGCGCCAAATCCCCATCCGTCCGTCAGTCAAAGAGACCACGCCCCCAATAATGAGTTAATTTTGACACGGAAGTCTATGGGACTGACTCTCTGCTGGGCACCACAGGAACTGCAGCTCTCAGTGCTTCCATGTTGGGTTTATTCTAGTTTATTTAGACACGAAGCTTCGTCTGTGTCACCTAGCTCACCTTTATTAGTGGAATATAAAGGTGTTTAGGGTTATATTCCAGTGGGTCTGAGCTCAGCGGCACAGTCTGCCCTCTGGTGGCGTTTTTGTGCCTTGCACTACTGTCACTGAAATACAACATCTAACATCGTCTCTTCACCATCACACATATTTATCTCTCTGTGAACTGTAAAGTATGAGAAGAAAAGAAAAAATATTTCATGTGTAATTTCAAGTTAAATGTTCAATGTTTCATATAAAAACGAGACACGTTGATAACTTATTAATTAAAACAAATGAAAAACATCATATTTCATATGAACTATAGGCTGTAAATACAGCAGCGCCAGCTTTCTCCTTCACCAGACTCCTTTGACTTTTTCACTGATTTTAGAGCCGCAGACTGTGACAAACAGACATCCACGTGTGTCTGAGCAGCATGAGGTGAAGCTGATCGTGATTGGTGGGTTTTTGGAGGTTAGTGTCCTGTTGGCTCTGAGCTTTCAGCAGTCAGTGGGACAGCAGGAGAAGAAGAAGAAAGTGAGTCACTCTGAGGAGAAAGTAGGTCGAACTGCAGCCTCATAATCAAAGTTCCACTTTCTGGATTCTGATTGGCCAGCTGCATCTCGATCTCAGCATCCCCACTGCCCAATGAGCAGCCAGCGGGCGGAGACGAGCACTGTGTCCCAGTTTCAGGTGGACTCGCACATCACTTCCTTTTAGTGCTGTGCGTACTTATATAACACGTTTACAGCCGTGTGGTGCGTCACCGTGACAACGGGTCACTCTGATCACTGATTTACAGCAGCAGGAGGAGGAGGAGGAGGTCCACAGCAGGAGGAGGAGGTCGTCAGGCAATAAACAATAACACAAACTGAGATGTTGCACACTTGTTTGTATGTGTGACACTGAGCTGCAGGCGCATGCTTCATATCCACACCTGCATGGTGATGATGTTTTCGCGTGGAAGCAGTCTCCACCAGACTCCAGTCAAAAATGTTCCGTTTTTCACACGTTCACTTTTACAGTTACGTGTTTATCAGGGTTAAAGCTCCTTCACTGACGCATCAGACTCCACGCATATACGTGTATTTACAGCTAATAATAGCTGCTTTTATTATTACGCCTGGCAGCCGTCTCAAACCGTCTGCTCATCTGAGGAGATGCTGACAATCAGTAAATGCTTGGAGCAAAAACACGAAGCAGCCTGGCTTTCGTACGCTAACCCTCAAACCAAACTCCATTCACATTTGTGCTCATTTTAAACACGAACAGAATCCTTCACTTAATCCACTCAGATATTTTCCTGATGTCAGTTTCCTACTGGTGACTGAGCAGCAGTCACACACGTCCACGTTACGCTGTATTAAGAGTGGGTGAGATGTGCGTGGAGGGGAAACTCCACAGTGATCTGCAGTAATCTCATTCTTCAGCCGGACTCCTGTGCATAACTAGTAGCTGCTTTTACTCCACTGTCCTCTCACCAGACTCCGGGTGGACCTTTCCACACCTTGCTGTGACCAAAGATCAGTGAAAATCTAACTATGTGCCCAAGAGCATCAGTTTTACAGGCTGTAATTTAGAATTATTTGTTACACCAAACTCCGTTTAAGTTTTGGCTGATTTTACACTTCCGTGCATTTGAACCAAGCCCCAGTGAGAAACGTGCTGTTAAACCTGCATGTTCTGCAGACACACGTGAGCTCCGTGGCTGTTTCCGTGTTTCTATGAGAACACGTGACCCGGTGTGTCAGCAGCAGGAAGTCTTCCCGCGGGCTGCGCTCGGTTTTCCTTCAGGAGCCGCGCTGTCTGGTCTCTGACGGCGTGACATGTCCCTGACATGTTATCTGATCACGCGGACATGCGTGTGTGTCTTACGTCACGTTGTACAGTATCGGTGCAGCAGTGCATGCTGGGAAGCAGCAGACAGCAACACGAAAGGAAACAGCGACTCCCGGTGGCAGCTTTACAAAATAAAAGCTTCAGCTGAAGAATTGAATGAACATTTTTTTTCTGCTGGATTATAAATGAAAGAAGTTCATGAAATGTTTTTAAAGATGTTTTTTTTAAGTTTACATTTAAAAACAGACCCAGCTCAAGCAGAAATGGGCTTTTAAAAACAGCCTTTCTATAAAAAACGAAACTCTGCAAACATGCTTTTATTGATTAAAATCCTTCAATAATTGGTTTATTTTTTCTCACAAATATTCCTTTAATTTGACATATTTACTGACAGTTTCATTATTCCCTAAATATTTTTTATACGTTTTTATTTTCAGTAGTTTTTCTTATTCTTTTATAACTGACTGCAAACAAAACTTTGTTAGAGTACATTTTATTAGTTTAAAGATGAAGTTTCTGCTTCATCTGTGTGAAACTGATGCTTCTGTAAATTCTATAAACTTCTTTATTTATCAGAGACAAACTTCATGTTTCACACACCCTGTTTGTCCTGCAGGCAGAGGTTTATTTTCATGTCATGTGATCACAGACAAAAACACTTCAGGGCAGGTAACACATGTGCAGGTGAGAGAGCGACCCCCGGTGGATGTGTGAGAGAAGACAGGAAACGGTAAAGGAGGAAGACGTCGTTCAGAGGAGAGGACTGCTGTAGAGAAACACCAACCACTCGGTCAGACGCAGCTCACCGCTGGGAGGCTTAGACACACACACACACA